GTTTGTAGGAGATCAGGTTGAAAAGTGGGGGGATCTGTGGTTCCCCCCCCCCCCGGAGAGTGGAACCCTACATTACATTCCCTCCCCTCCCCAAACCATGCTTTCCACAGGCTCCCCCCCCAAAAAAAAATCTTCACATATTTCCCAACCCGGAGCTGGCAACACTACTCAGCATGCCATCACCGCCACTCTGTGATTGGCCCCTGATCTCCAGGGCAGCCATTTTGGTAGGGGCCTAGGGTTGCTGACAGCCTGGAGAAAATATGTTCCTCCCGTCCCTTTAACGGAGCTTTAATAGGATAGTATTGACCAGAGAACAATATAGGATGAAAAACTAAAAGGGGGGGGGACTCAACCTCCCCAAAAAACAGATCAGATAACCAGAAGGGTTAAGTAAACAGGCCTCAGAAACACACATAAATGAAAAACAAAATTAAACTTTTCCACACGTTCAGACTCTATTAAAGAGGGGCGACATTTTTCTTCATACCTGCTGGCAATCCTAAACGGGTCCCGGTTCCTGTGGTAGCCATTTTGGTATCAGCCCCAACCTTCTAGGGAAGCCATTTTGGTATTGGCTCTGACTAGCCCCCACGGCAGCCATTTTGTGGTGGTGCTCACTCCCTGTTCTCAAAATTCCACAAGGGTTCATAAGGTATTCTTGGTGCTGGGGGGGGGGCAACAGTGGGAGGGCTTCTGGGGCTCTGGCCCTTTAGGTGGACATCCCTATCACACCTGGGTTTTGGCCACTGTGTGACACAGAGTGTTGGACTGGATGGGCCATTGGCCTGATCCAACATTGGCTTCTCTTATATTCTTAAGGTTGGGGACCCCTGCTCTAAAGAATTGTCTCCATTGAATAGGCTGCCATGGCGCCAAGCTGTGAATTATCTCAGAGGGAACATTTTCTGAGTGCAGCTGTTTCCTTACCTTCCACAAGCCATGTGATGCCGCTCAACCATTCCCAGTCCCAGGATGAGGACGCAGTACACTTCGGCAAGGTGTTTTTTGGTCACCTCCATCTTCCGCTGAGTCTCCATCATTTCTTGCTTTTCTAAGGCACTGGGCTGTCCGCTTAGCACGTAACAAAAAGCACATTGTTAAGAGTACAGGAGAGTTAGTCCAGACGAATTCTTTAATGAAGTGTAATTTTTTTAACAACTGTATACCCAAAAGCATGATATAACGTTTAGAACGCCATACCAGAATCGGGGAAACTCAGACCGATTTCCCACAAGCGCTGCTCCGCGCTCGCTCTTCCCTTTTGCCCCAATGGTACGTGTCAATTTCACACAAGTGGCTGCGCGGCCGCATTTCTCCCCCGCAGCTTCGCACGATTTCCCCCGCGTCTACGCAATCCTCAAAAAACAGGACTGAGTAGACGCGGGGGAAATCACGCGAAGCTGGGGCAAAATGCGGCCACACAGCAGCTCGTGTGAAATTGACACGTACCATCGGGGCAAAAGGGAAGAGCGAGCGCGGAGCAGCGCTTGTGGGAAATCGGTCTCAGTTTCAAATCCCCACGGAAGCTTGCTGGGTGATCTTGGGCCAATTGCTATCTCTCCTCCTAGCCTACCACACAGGGTTGTTGCAAGGATAAAATGGAAGAGAATGATGCTGTAAGCCGCTTTGCGGGCTCAGGGTGGAGAAAGGCAAGGTATAAATACCCAAAATGAAAACATGGAAAACCAAATACAAACTGCACAGCTCTCTCGGGGCTGACTTGCCTCATGGGGTTGATGTAAAGACAGCATAAAGGAGGGGAGATCATACATCCTGAGCTGCCTGGTGGAAAGGATAGATAAAAACCCACAGGGGAAAGCCGGGAACGGAGAGGGAGGAGGAGGGCCAAGGAAGCAGGCAGGCAGGGCAGTGGGCGGCGAGCAGAAAGAGGCGTCATCACGATAACTTTATCATGGTAACTTTAAAAATACACTGGGAAAGAGGAGTGAGAGAATAAAGCCAACATTGCGGCTGCAGGTTGGAACAACATTGTCTCAATCTGCCCCGTCAATCAGATGAGCCCATTTTGGGGGTAGATTGGGACATAAACATAATAGATAAAGAAATAAATAAATGTATCAGGGGTCATTTCCTGCAGGAGCGCACAGGAGCGAAGCTCCGGCAGTAAAGAGCCCAGGGGGCGGGCACATGCAACAAGCCCCACCCCCTGCTCCCAGCAGCCCTCAGTCAGAGCAAGAAGCAGCCAGGTAAGTTGCAGAGGCCCCCCCCCGGGCCCAAAACAGTCCAGTGGCACCTTTAAGACCAAGTTTTATTCAGGTACAAGCTCTCCCTCCTCTGCGAGGACAGATCTGCACGTTCCCCCCCCCCAATAGCTAGCAATCCAAAACAGTCCAGTGGAGCCTGAGCGGTGGGTGTTGCCTTCTGACACACTTCCGGTGATGTCAGGGGGTGTGGCATATGCAAATAAGTTATGCTAATGAGTTATGCTGATGAGCTCCTGCTCCTCTTTTTCTACGAAATGACCCCTGATCATTACCAATCTCAGAAATTCCCTCAGACCATTACATTAATATCCAGAAGAAAACAAAGGCCTTTTTATATATCCAAAGAAAGAATTTAACAATATGTTTAGACAAAATCTACATTAGTAGAATAAAAGAAACTGTATACCTATATATTTGCAAATATTATATGATAGCAGTACGTGGGAAAATGATATAGACTTCGTTAATGGATGAGGTAGTTTAATAGAGGAAAAGAAAGACTGAAATGTTGTACCCCAATTTTATGTTTGTTTGTTTAGAAAATAAAAAAATTGTTTAAGAATAAATAAATAAATGGCCCATGGCCAATGAGAAGCCCTGTTGGACAAGAGCCCCACATGGCCCCACCCAGTGACGTCATTGTGCCAGGGGGATCGCACGGTGATGCTCTGGTTTGAGGGCAGAACTCTATGGTAAAACTGAGTTAAAACCATAGAGTTTTGCCCTCAAACCAGAGCATCCCAAAGAGACGTCCCCGGCATGATGACAGCCCTTCCAGGTGACATCATCACATCAGGGAAGTCACGTGAGGACATGGCTGTCTGCGGGCGGGGTTTCCTGGTGGTGAGCCGAAGCCCCGAAAACCGGGGGGAACCCCGCCCCCGACCTGGGGACTGGAAAGCCTACTGCACTATGCCATACTGGCTCTCCATAGGTGTGGATTCAGACACGGCACAAAGCCTCCTTTGAGTGCACACCAGGAACCACGGTCACAAACCCTTTATGTGCAAGGCCGTTTGTGGGTGAACAGAAGCAGTGCGGGACCTGCCACAGACTCAAGAACCACCCTCCATGTCTGCCAGCTGCTGATTCAGCAGCCCAAGAAAGACCGGTGCTTGTTTGCATAATGCTGCTTGCACAACGAGGTGTGACCTGGCAAGAGACGCGCCTAGTTGCAGAACTCCTTGTCTGGCAAATGCTCAATGCACAGTACAAGGCACGCCTAAATCCTCAATTGAAATCACTGGGATTCAAGCGCCGGGCTTCCTCCTTAAAACCCATCCAGTTTCAAATTTAAGGCCAGAATCTCCAAAGTTTGTTTTTTCCATGATAAAAGCAGCTGTATGGTACCTGAATGCAACAGGGTGGGTGGGGAACTGAGGTTGGGAAATGAATGTAGCAGGAAAAGATTCATCATAAGAATGTAAGAAGAGCCCTGCTGGATCAGACCAGTGGTCTATCTAATCCAGCATCCTGTCTCACAAAGCGGTCAACCAGTTCCTCTGGAGGGCCAACAACAGGGCATAGACGCCAAGGCCTTGACCTGATGTTATTTCCTAGCGCTGAGATTCAGAGTGTGGAGGTTCCCCTCAGTTACCATGTGGAGGTTCCCCCCAGTTACCACATAGAGGCCGAGGCCTTCATAAGAACATAAGAGGAGCCCTGCTGGATTAGACCAGTGATCCGTCTATTCCAGCATCCTGTCTCACAAAGCGGCCAACCAGTTCCTATGGAGGGCCAACAACAGGGCATAGAGGCCAAGGCCTTGACCTGATGTTACTTCCTAGTGTTGAGATTCAGAGTTCCTCTGAATGTGCCTCTGAATGTGGAGGTTCCCCTCAGTCACCATGGCTAGTAGACATTGTAGACCTATTCTCCATGAATCTGTTTAATCCCCTTTTAAAGCTGTCTATGTATGTGGCTGTTTCTATATCTTCCAGCAGTGAATTCCACAGTTTAGTAGTATTTCCTTTTGTCTGTCCTGAACCTACTACCCATCAGCTTTATTGGATGCCCTCAATTTCTAGTATTTTGGCAGAGGGAGAAAAAGTTCTTTTTGTCAACTCTCTTCACATCATGCATAATTTTATAAATCTCTATCCTGTCCCCATTTATTCATCCCCCCCCCCATGATGCTGATCTGGATTGTTCCTCCCCAGTTGCTTTTATTGTTTAAAAACCGCAGGAGGTCTCAACCATGGAAAGCCCCATCTAATTTGGCCCCAGTTTCATCAGCTCTTGGCTTCCAGGAACCGTCACAAAAATGACCCTCCCAACCAGTGTTCCCGCTAAGATGAGTTGGTGTGAGCGAGCTCACAGATTTTTAGCCTCCGGCTCACACATTTTTGCCTCAGCTCAGGAGGGACGGCTCCAGAGCAGACTAATTGACGCAGCAGCCAAATGGCTCGCTCACAGCTTTAATGCCAGTAGCTCACAAAGTAGAATTGTTGCTCACAAGTCCCCACAGCTTAGAGGGAGCATCGCTTCCAACTGGTGTCGGAAGTGATAACCCCACCATGGGTGAAATGGCAAATAGATGTTTCTCTCTCTCTCAGGGTCCCAAAAGAAACAATAACGGCAGTGATCTAGCACCTTTTTTTTTAAGTGTTCAAAACATGGCACATATATTACTTTTGTAATTCTTACAACAGCCCTGCTGTGGAACAAGCAGAAGGGCTTAAATTTTTCCCCACGCTGCAGACGAAGGGCTGAATTTGGATCAGAGGTCTAGTGCACAGCTTAGAGGGAGCATTGCTTCCAACTGGTGTCAGAAGTGATAACCCCACCAGGGGTGAAATGGCAAACAGAGGTTTCTCTTTCTCTCGGGGTCCCAAAAGAAATAATAACCGCAATGATCTACCACCTTTTTTTTGGTAAAGTGTTCAAAACATGGCGCATATATTACTTTTGTAATTCTTACGACAGCCCTGCTGTGGAAGAAGCGGAAGGGCTTAAATTTTCCCCCACGCTGCAGATGAAGGGCTGAATTTGGAGCAGAGCTCTAGTGCGGCCATGATGTTCCTGATTTCCTAACCAGCATTCCCTCTAAGAAGCGCTAGTCGGTGCTGGCACAAAAAAAATTAGGTGGCAGCTCAGGGATTTTAGCTTCAGCTCACAAGGAAACTGAGAAGGCATTTTCCTCTCCATTGGAAACAAAGGAGGATGGGGGCACCTCCTTCTGGGGTCCATAGAAATGGACCCCCCTCTCCAATATTTTTTAAACTTGGGGGGGGGCTGTGGAGAGGCACCAGCAGCTATGCTGCAAATTTGATTCTCTGTTATAGCCTATGGAGCAGGAAAGCCACCAGTATGCACCCAACCCAATACCCTAACCACAGTTAGAAGATTGGGGACATTACACTGCGCTAAAGGCCTAGCTACGCAATACACTGTTCCCAAGCCTGTTTCTGGATCCACCCCAAGGACACTTGGGGCGTATGTGCAGGGGTCATTTCATAGAAAAAGAGGTGCAGGAGCTCATTTGCATAGCTTATTTGCATGTGCCACACCCCCTGACGTCACCGGAAGTGTGTCAGAAGGCAACACCCACCGCTCAGGCTCCACTGGACTCTTTTGGATTGCTAGCTATGTGGGGTGGGGACACACGCAGATCTATCCTCACAGAGGAGGGAGAGCTTGTACCTGAATAAAACTTGGTCTTCAAGATGCCACTGGACTGTTTTGGATTGCTAGCTATGGGGGGGGGGGAACACGCAGATCTGCCCTCACAGAGGAGGGAGAGCTTGTACCTGAATAAAACTTGGTCTTAAAGATGCCACTGGACTGTTTTGGGCTGGGGGGGGAGCTCTGCAACTTACCTGGCTGCTTCTTGCTGTGTC